TCAACCCTCGTACGGCGCGTTAACTTGTTCTAGGAAGGCACCCTAATCTCACCGTGTTGGCCTCTTCGCTCCGGGGTTCAATTGGAAGAATACCCAGACTCGTTAGAGGGCTACGGGCCTTGAGGCTGCCTGTCTGCAGAGAGTTATGCAGAACACTTTTTGTTCTTCGTCTAATCAAGAAACATATTTACATAAACCGTTCTACTTATCGTAGACCAAAAGTAATTTCTATCAGCGCAGTACCGGTTTTTCTTATATGAGTACATGGGCACAAAGTTTAAGTCACGGTGGTCGGAACAGTTGTTCAGGGTGATTATGGTAGAACTCGGATAGGTCCCCACGCTGTAGAAAAAATCACATTGCCACTAAATCGAAAGCAAAGGTGGCTGCCTAGACCGGCCGTAATCTAATACCCGTGCCACACGGGCAACTCGAATGCCATTTACAACGAATGATATATGTGTGATCGGCGAATCAGCTCGCAATCTGTCACGAGTGAAATGCGCTGTGCCCGAAGTGTCGCGTGCTGATTGGCCGTCCGCTCAAATGTCATTCGTTGTAAATGGATTCGAGTTGCCCCGTGTGGCACGGGTATAAGTCCCTCTACGATCTGTGATTCAGCTCGCGATCTTGGATCGCGAGCACATGCTACGCGCGGAGGGTTACGAATTGATCCGCTGCTGGTCATAAAGGTACATACCTGAGGTAAAGGTACCCTTATGATTGCATAATGGGGTATCAGACATGTTTTGTACATTCGCAGCATTTAAAAGACGCTTCTTGGCCACTAAATGACATATATTTGGTCTATCCTGCTTTAATGTGGGCACTTCTTAAAAAAATTAGAAGAATGTTTTTTTTTTTTTTTTTTTTAGTGTGCGCATTTGTGATGTAAATACGGGCTTTCGCCCCCAGTAAACGAAACAATGAACTATTATGGAGACTTATAAACGAGTATTGCTAAAAAAAAGTGTTGTGTGTATGTTTATACAGCCGGAAGTTAGTCTGCCTCAGTGGGCGTCTGGTGTCTCAGCTGTAGATGAGCAACTTAGCCAGTGAGGTACAACCGCTAACCTAAGGTCTTGAACGTGCACCACGCAGTAGTGATGCACGACCGCACGCCGGTACGATGCTCATCCAGATCGAAACGGGACCCAAGATCTCTGGGTTCTGCAGCACGAGCTTTCGCTCCACGTGCTCCGAGCTGGTGTGAGCTAGCCCACTCGGCCACCGATCCTATTGGCGGCGGCCCAGGACATCGCAGAAAAGAGCGCGACGGCACCTCATGCCAGAATTTTTACAGACTCGCAAGCAGCGATTAATGCTACACGCAGCAGCAGACCAAAGGGCCGAACAATAAAAAAGATTAAGAAAGTGTCGACGGAGCTTCGCATACGTGGCACCGACCTGCATATCACATGGCTTCCCGGGCACAGCAAAATCCTCGGGAATGAGAGGGCACACAGGGCCGCAGCGGAAGAAATATTTCACGGCTCCGCGACTGGCCCGACCTCTCATTCTGAAACGAATGACACGGTAGACCCTGAGGAACAGGCTGAACTTGCCAGGCAGGCGAGGAAGGCCTACCTCAGAGGGTTGCTGCCGTCACAAGAAGACAACATACCAACGAGTTATACCAGATGGGAAGCTGTCCGAGTCCGACGGATCAGGACCGGAACAGCATTCACACCGGCCAAACAAGCGAGCTTCGGGCTCGTCGACATCGAGGGCTCCAGATGCAAGGCCTGCGCCGGGAACAATACAGCCACACTACGCCACCTCCTCTGGGACTGTGCAGGCCTGGAACGGCTGAGGAAGAAAGCGATCCAATCTCTTCGGGAAGAGGACAGACCGGCGACGCTTGAGGAGTGGTCCCGACCCCAGGGAACACCGCAGCACAGAAAAGCAATCCTCGATTCCCTGATGAGCTACATCAGGGAAACGGGAACCCATCATCACATTTAATTTTTTTTTTTCACATCATTTATTCCCTTTTTCCTCTAAATCCCATGCCCCCCCCCCCCCCCCCTTCCTGTCTCAGGCCACCCGACCAAGACAGCCGAACCACTCATCTCATCAATAAACATAATTCAACAACAACAACAACCAATGGCTAAAGGTTAATTTCCAGACATTGCTATACTCTGTTTCACCTTATGTTGTACCGCAGCGAAGGCTAGAAGCGCGAGCTCATAGCGTTGGCAGCTGCCCTTGGTGCGCGAGAGCTTGTGCCGCCGAGATGTGCCCTAGAACAAGGAGCTCGCGCTTGTAGCCTTTCCTGCGGTACAACACAAGGTGAAACAGAGTATAGGAAAAGCAAAGCCTTTGCATGACATGACACGTTCTTTATTCCCTGATTTTTAACCAGAAAAACGCAATGTTTCGCCGACCTAAGAATATCAAAGTGAAATTTCATGTTATTAGATCTTGTTGAACTACAAGAGGATTTAATCTAAAGAATATAAGCAGGGAACACGTACAAATAAAGTTTCAAAAGTTTCGTGGTTCATTTTATTACCAAAATGTTAAACTAACTTCACTCAGCGGAAAAAAACAAGTAGGTGTCATCCACGTATACCAGATAGTACGGGGGAGCACGACACGTATATTCACGCACACCAGATAGTGGTACGGGGCAGCACGGCAGCTCAAATGATCAAGAACAATTGACTTCTTGCTTTATAATTTTGCAAAGCAGAATGAAACTGCTTGAATAGCTGCATGCGCATGCCCATCTAAGTGTCTATAGATAAAAAAAAAAGAAACCGTAATAAACCTAGATGCTGGTAAATTGTATTCAAAGTACCGCTACAGTCGTTCTTAAACTCCATTCTCACTTAAAAAAGTAATTAATTGTTATAAAACTAATGGCCATAACTTAACCCCTTGTAATTGATTACTTATGTGCCTTCAAACTTGCGACATTTGGCGCTAAACCCATTTTTGGAGGTTGCCACATAAATTTACGATATTTTTGCTACAACCTCGAAGTCTACCTACTGCTCCTAAAAAATAAAAAAAAAGATGCTTGTTGCGATATCCAGACGATTGAAATAATCTGTGTGACGCCATGTTTGTCTACTGGGCTCTGGAACACGTTCTGAGCATGCGCAGGTGCTTTCTGCTGGAGCATAGCAGACTCCTCTTATGTGTCCCCAGCTGAATGACTTGGCATTTTCCGCATGAACGATGAGCGCTGGAAAGGTGTATACATCGCAGTGTTGTACGGAGCGGCGTTCCTGGAACGCGTTCCTTTTAGGAGGAACGAAGTAACGCCGCCGTTTCATTTCGTATCGGTAGAACTGGAACGGGAGCTCGTTACGTTTTTATGGGAACGGAAAAAGGAACGGCGTTTGCTTCTTTCGTCCAGTGCGGCAATCTTTAATTTAGTTCTTAGAGGGAAATTCTAAGAGTATAAAAACAGTCTATTTACGAAGTTCAAAATCTGGGTAATGTTTCTGTCACTTGTCTTAGGGTTTAATTTGTGTGGCCCTCACTTGGTAACAGTCGGGTGCTGGAGAGCTAGCGGACATCGATTATTTTTTTAGTGCCCGAAACTGCAGTACAAAAAACCAAACTTTTAGTCGAAGGAAAAGGCACAGAAGGAGGGACGTTTCAAACTCAGCTATTTCTTTGTTTCCATGAATCCTCATACACCCAGAAATTTAAGGCCGACTACAGCCATCACTGAACTTCCACAAACAGACCTAAAGTTACAACAAAAGAACAGGTAAGCAAAAATCGAACGCAACATTGTTAATTTAAAATATAGAAAAAATGTAACCTTTATTCCGTCTACCCTTTACCCCCACCTTCAAACTGAACAACGAATCCGACCTTGACAAATAAGGAGTGGCAATTTTCAAGACTGACCTTCCAAAAGCCCTACATTCCTCTTCACTTGCTCGTCTTGAGGACAGCAACATCGAGAAGCAACTGTTGTTAAGTTCAAACAAGGGACTTTGTTAGATTGAAACGTGTGAGGTTGTTGTAAAACGCTCGTGCGATGTGGGGTAAGAGTACATTTGGCTTGTCTGAATCGCCCACCACAAACATGAATATTGTTATATCTGAGATATTGAAGGTGAATATATCAACAAAGAAAATTCTGCTTCCACTCGTTTTTTTTCTTCCTTTTTTTGGTCCCCTTCTATTACGGCCTTCAAATTCGTATGATGCCATTTAATGGGATATGTTCAAAAAGTTTGCTTGGTTTAACTAAATATGATATTCAACAAAATACAAATATAACGTATATGTAAGAATACGTTCCTTGTTTTAACTCTAACGGGAAGGAGTTCTTTTTTCACATATGAAACTTGTAACGGGAACGCGTTCCAAAGATCAGAAGGAACGAGGTACGAGCTTTCGTTCCTTTTCTTGAGGAATGCGTACAACACTGGTACATTGTTACACTTGCTTTATCACCGAGGAGGAAAATGCCAAGGCACTGGAATGTGAACGCGTGTGTGGTGTAGGCACGAGCTGCTGTCCGTGATAAGGACGCATTTCACAGCCGTTTAGACAAAGATGGCGACGCGAAAAAGGCGAGTAGTGGAATGGCCTATACGGGTAGAAACTGCGGGGAAAGGAGAAGGCAGCTAGCTCTGAGTCTACCCACTAATCATTCCGCACAGGGCTCGGTGCTGTGCTGTCCCTGCACGCTCTCTTCTTCTCCTCTCCCCCAATTTTTACTTATATGGATCTCATTCGAAAGGGGTGACATACAAAGGAATGGAGAGTCGGTGTGAATAACGCGCTGGTTTTCCTGTTGAATTTCAGAAGAAAAAAAAGAAACGGCGCAAAGCGAGGCAAGTTGCCTTTATTAGGAGCGTGGAGGGCCAACGCGGGGATATCTCAAACGACAAAACTAAATCGCCGATCGGTATCTGGCAATACAAACCCGAGAAAGGTGCGAGGTTTGCCTAGGGTAGACCAAAAAGGACCGTGGAGCTTCCTTGGCCCGCAGCAGTATTTACAGCAAACACCCTTTCACAGCCGGGACACGGAAGATGAAAGGCAGTCGGGTTCCTGGCTTCGAAGCAGTCACCCAAGAAAATGCAAGTAGAAGCAAGCAGAGGGCGAAAGAAGGTATGCATCTCTTCTTCCGTATGTCCCACTGCTGCACGAACCAAAAGTTTCACGCCGCGCTCGTGCGCTTGAATCACCGGGGCGGACAGAAAAAAACAAAAATAATTCAAACAGAATCCGAGTTTACTTGACTCAAATATTTCCTCTTTTTTTGAAAGAGGCCGGCACCACGCGGCAGGAAAAAAAATTACCAGGTAAAAGAAAAAAAGAAGGCTCGTGTTGTGCGGATCTTCCGTGACATCACGCTCTGTCAACGATGAAGGGGGCCTTTCTGTCAGCTCCGCGTTCTGCTTACTCGTCAGGGGTGGCGGAACGGTGACGTGGCACCCTGGACGAAATCCTGGTCTAGAGCCCTGCCCAGTAATGATCTTTCGTGCGCCAAAGGGACATTAATTTCCGGTTCTACACGTCGCTAACCAGCTCCGTTTCAACAGTAGGCTGTAGATGATTCTAAATTCAGATAATAACCAGGGCTACGGCACCGTAAAACATCAGGGCAAGCTTGCTGGAAATAGCGTTTTAGCTAAGACTATGTGAAAAAAGCCTGCCAAGCCTGAGGCACCCAAGCGCTTGAGACTCAACTTCACTTGCAAGTCCGCTCGTACCCTAGCTCTGGTAGTGCTTTCCCTCACGCACTTAACTAATGCGGTATAAACCATTTTTAAAAATCAGAGTTCTCTAAAGGGAGTCTCAGATGATCCAATATTTTCTGCACTAATGGCGTTTATAGGAGAACAAGGTCGTCTATACTTCAAGCATCTTCGTGAATTGAAGAAGACATACAAGGTTAATTAATTCCCCTCTTTAGGCTTTGTACTTTCGAAGATGTTTGCATTCCTTGATCTGGAGAGCCTTTGTAGTGTCGCCATTAGAGCGTCGGGTACGGTCGTGGACAGGACGGGTGGGCTGACTTCTCAAAAATTACTTGTCCCTTAAATGATTTGAAGCGGTTTTGGAGCGCTTTTTCACTAGTATCATCGCGAGCATGAAGCACTTTGCAACGTTCCGAATTCACCGAAGAACTCCCACATAAGACTCAGCTCCTAGCGAGCCTGTCCAGACATAAAAGGAGCAAACGGCAGACGCATTTGGGAGGCGAGCAAATAGTCCTATCATCGTTGTTGTTCATGCTGTTTTTCAAGCGGCCGGTCCCGTGGAAGTGGGCCTCTCAGAAGAGCGAGAGTGAAGCAGCTACATACACTCTTACGCTCCCCGTTACGCTGGCCCCCCGGCGTGCCTAGCAGCCTTTTAGGAGGCACGGGTCGCAGAAGCTCCAGATGAGACTTTTCGGGGGGCGGAGGGGGGACAGGTTTCCTCCTTTCCGCAAGGTGTGCTCTCGTGAAGGAAGCCGTTCGAAGGAACTGTGCCGACCGGCTGAGGCTCGGTTTGCCCTCGCCGCTTCCGAGCCTGCCAGCGGTCTCCCTGGCGACCGTTGATCCTGCCAGTCGTTGCAGTGAAAGTTTGGCCGTGTCCTTCGCTGGTGGTGCTGCTGCAGCGGAGCTGGTGACCGGCTCCTTGCCCGGTCTGTCCGTGTTGGCTCTTCTGCGGTCTTGAGAATCTTGAGGGACTTTTGCACTTTGCGATAAATGTAGCTTTATCCGCACAGCTTTTTCTGGAGCTCAGATCGCTTTTTTTTTGTATCTGGAACCCCAGTGGAATATCGGATATTCATATTAGGACGCTCATGCGAAGTTGTACTTTCTTCTGTCAACCTTGGAACGTCCCAGCACTCTTCACCAGGATCACAAAACTTGACTTGAGAGCCCACAATTTTTTTTCAAATTTAACACGGACAAATAGAAATTTTGTTATTTATATGTTACACGGGCATCCTGATCATTTATCCTCGTTCATCTAATTTGACTTATATTAGTGGCAATCTGGAATATTGTTTTTTTTTTTATAATCGAGATGTCTCAGTGGTTTTTTTTGTTCGTGCTCGGTGTGCAACTCATCGCTGCTCAGGAGACTGCGCAAGAAGCGTACGTGTACGACTTTCAAGATCAGGCGGCCTCGAAAGATGCTGACGATGGAACCACGACGACCTCGACAGAAGCCGCCGTTGAGGCGCAGGAGGACGCTCCACCGAACGTCGAAGCCTTCGTTCAGGACTTCATTGATAACGGTTATCGGAAGGTCCTACCCGTGGTGACACAATTTGGATTCGACCCTGCCGTGTCTGTGGAGTGCTCCAAGAGTCTGCTCAAATTCGCTCTGGCATTCAGAAGACTGGAACCATGGGCGTTGCGAAGTAAGGGACATTTTGTTTTCTATTGACTTTGATGTGTATGCTAGAGTATTTATTACGCTTCTACAGCAATTTAAATAGCTGGCGGTGGTGCATTCCGTACTTCTGCATATGAATAGGAATTTTGTCAACTCTGAGAACTCTGATGCGCTCAGCATCTAATTCACATTAACGTCAGGTCGTAGTTAAATTTTTGGTTTAAGAATGGCCCTGCGCGTGTTAAACCAAAGTGATTGAGTTTCAGTTCTTGCCTGTCCAAATTTTCTCTTCCATTAATAGCGCTTATTTCACAATTAAATAACTTTGAAAATAGTGGAAGTTTATATTTATCAAACTGTGGCATAAACTGCCGGAATTAACAAATTTTTGTGCCTGTACAGTGATTCTGTGATGCTGCGAATTTAAACTGATTTCAAGTGTGAGGTCACTGGGGTTATTCAAACGCCAATTGACACGTCAATGCAACGAGTGCAATACACTCATCAGAATACGACGTATTGTTTTTTTATCATAATTACTGCCTTTTCGTTGCGATAGGCAGTCAATGTAATAAAATTTAGGCTAAATTGCTTCATCCCAATGTGCCAGTATCTCAAGTGTATTCTCTGCTTGTTCCCATTAGTCTTAGATATTATTCATTCTCATCCCATATACACAATTCTGAATAATTCCATTGGAAAGACTACCATCAAGTCAGGTTTTCCCTAGTGCAATCAAACTGTGTCAGCGTTCGCCTGCGGACAGTGTGAGGGCACTTTGAAAGACGAAAATCCCTCTCGGTCGTGTCGTGTCGTGCCGTTTCTGTTACGAATGCACAGCGAACTAGGACAGCGGGGTGAGGCACGGAATCCGTGAATGGTTCTGCGGATCGGGTGTTCGGGGCTGTCTGAGCGAGGGAAAAAATCAGCGAGAAGCGAGAGTAAGAAATTTTTTTTCGAGACACCTTTAGTAGTCACGGTCTGTAGCAAGGCTCACACGATTCAATTTTTGTCGAGGCGCAGTGCGATTTCCGTCGTCTTGTAATTGCAACAACGCTTATTTAAAAAAAAAAAATTGAGTGCAGTTAGCTAAACTGCGTATTGTGTCACGGTTTCTATGCCGTATGGTACCAGAAAACGCAAAGCGTACTCGTACCATGCAAAACAGCTTTCGGAAAAGCTTTTAAGCCTTAGCTGCGTACGCTGACAATCTGCTTTTTTTTTTTGTTGAGGAGCTAAAAGTCGACAAAGTACCATCAACTGATCGAGCAGCAAACATGTTTGCCTCGAGCTCCCGAATAAATGTTTCGTTTGTGAATAAGTGACTAGAGACCAAATAATCGTATTAGGATCCAGTTGGCATATAAATTGCAGCGTTCCCTTTTGAGTTAAAAAATGTGACGCACACGCTCGATTGACTTGCTTTTGTAACAATACGGCTGGGACAATTTCTAATTATCTGAAGCGTGACATCACAGTGTCAAGTTGTGGTGTAACCTGGCATGACGTGACACTGTGTCACGTGATGTGTGTACCATGTTACGTGTGCCAAGAACATCATCTGGGTTACGGACGTCACGTGACGTCGCGCTACCTAGCACGGGTCACGTGACGGTTGTTATTTACATGTACCGTAGCGTATTCAGGGTCCAGCGACGCACGACCGGAAACATTTCAGGGTTATAAAACCTTTCACGTTAAAAAAAAAGTATTTGGAAGATACGCGTGGCGGTCAAACTGAGTGCATAGATAAACACAAAGTAAACCGACAACCTCACTAGCTCTGCTTCCGGTACCCTTACTTTCTAGCGGGGGTAGCCCTTCAATACAATTTACGCTTCTCAAGTGACTGAAAGTGAGGTATTGTCACTTGAGAAGCGTAAACTGTATTGAAGGGCTACCCGCACTAGAAAGTGAAGGTGGAGCTCGGAAGCACAATTAGTGAGGTTGTCAGTTTACTTTATGTTTATCTATCTCTGCAATGGGTTAAAGCCATGGGCCTAAATACTTTGACATCACATGCGCTGACACTTTGGAACTAAGGCTCTCTGTGGCTGTCAACTGATATCCAGAGAACGTGTTCCATTCAGAATGAAGACTATGTGGAGCTCAAGCTCGTCTGCTTTTTTTACAGGGTTTGTGAAGGACCGTGGGTAGACCTCAAGGTAGCTTGCTTTGGGGCCTACCCCCTATCCTCCAATCAGAGCCAATTAGAGCGCGGCGTTCTGACGTTCCCACAACCTCTGCAAAAGATACAGGCGAACTTGCGCTCCGCATAGGTCGACATGCTGCTTAGAAACACGCCGCATCGTTTCCCACACCACGTGTGGGCGCACTACGCGTGCGCAGAATGTAAATTCGGGAGGAGTAAAGCGTCTGCGCATGGGCAGTGCCGACAGCAGCGCCACCGCAGCGGCGCTTTGGTGTATACGAAACAAGGGACTAGGTTAGAGATCGTTCTCTTGGGGTTATGTAGGGTAAGAAAGTAGAAATTTGAAGATAATAGTGTGATTATAAGGGGTTGTGTAATTAATTAATTGACGTATTCATATATTGATAAGTTTTTTAATCAATAGCTAAATGTTTAACCGATTAATTGAGAGAAGGTGAACACAATGTGGTGCGTACCTTCGTCTGCTTTTTACACAGGGGTTGCAATGATGCAAGAACGCTGAGCTCTTATTGGCTGACTGAAAAGAAAAAAAAGAGTAGGTAAACCTCAAGGCATCTACGGGGTGTCACAAAAGAAAATTTTCAGGTTTTTGTTTACCGCAATAAATAAACTAGGCATCGGCGAACGCTCATTCTCGGCCCAAAGGTAGGGCTGTAGGTCACAACCAGATGCCAAAGTTTCAGCCCGATCCGATACCTTATTCTGATTTTCTGAAAATTTCAATGGGAAAATGGTGCCCATTTTTGCTCGTTTTCGGTTTCTTGTGCCATAGAGCCCCTGTATTCGAAAACTCCGTCGTCCGCCATTTTCCCATAGAAATTTTCAAAAAATCACTTATAATTTTTGAGTAAAGTATCGGATCGGGCTGAAACTTTGGCATCTGGTTGTGACCTTTACCGCTACCTTTGGGCAAAAAATGAGCGCTGGGGATGCCCAGTTTATTTTTGCGGCAAAATGAAACGTGTAAATTTTCTTTTGTGACACCCTGTAATTTTAGGTCAACCCACTATCGTTTCAACCAAAGCCAATCAGAGCTCGGTATCGTTCCGGCGTCACCGCAACTCCTGCGCAAAAAGCAGACGACTTGCTCCTCGCGTAGGGTTCTCAAGAGCATCATCGTCAAACTCACTATCAAGAATTTAGTAGCTCAGAAATCAGCCCTTCAGTGAAAGTGTCTATGATTACCGTAGTATATAAATAAACTACTTAGCTTCTGGAAAATATTGCTCCTTTTGGTGAGGCGTTTCGTTGTCCAGATTGCTACTATACGGTTTAGGGGATTGAGCGGTCAGTGAAGCGCCGTGCTGCTTTCTCTAAATCCGGTCTCTTAGGTGTGAATCCAATAAATATTTCGTGTTATATATCAAAAATTTCCCAAACTGTTGAGTTACTTAAATATTACTTAGTAGCTAGACCCTTAATCTCGGTAGTAGGTCGCATACGTTCCTTCCTGTCCTCCCCTCTGCTTTCGCGATCAGCTCATAAATTTGAAATGTTTGAAAATATTCAAAACTAAAATTCTAAAATTCTAAAAAGGAAAAAAAAAGCTGTATTATTAAAACGTATAAATTCTGCATTGTTAAGACCTTAGGGCTTCCCGCAAGCGGGTTTTCGAAATGCGGTGTCGTGTTTATAACTTGAAAACAATTTAGCACTTTTATCTGGCTCCACATCTGACCGATAACCGATCAATGAATCGAATAATGGCCGCCGATTAATCTGTAAAATGAGAATCTAATTGATGTAAAGCTCTACATATATAGAGATATATTGAAACAGGTGTTACGAAAATGATGCGCGCGTTTACTTGCCTTCGAATTCCACACGGAGTCAACCACCGTGATGAGTGTAGAGATGAGCAAATAATGAAAAAGTAGCTGAAAAATACCTAATTTTTATGCGGACACTGAACGAATGAAGCATGAGGGTCAACGTCGCAGCACTGATCGAATTTTTGTGTAAAATATTTATCTGGGTCTCATCAGTCTCCAAAAGCTCTTAGAGGGAAGGCAATGAGCGGGCAGGTTTAGTGACGGTGGCACGCACTTCTTCAGCATTCTTATAATAGTAACTTTTGTCTCATTACAGCGTCATGTTAAACGCTTTCATTTTTAAATATTCGCAGTTTATTCGTGGCGATCTTTGTAGTTGCCCTCGTTTTTTACATTTCCTCCTAAAGAGCGCTGCACGACCAGCACAAACACGTCTACATCAGTGTTATTCGGTGCTTGTGTGTCACTACTGAAAGGCTGTTGGAAACACTACATTATGCTGCGTTCCACATTAAATCTGACCGAGGCAAACGCTACGATCTATAATAGAGTCAGACAAGCCGCGCCAAAAGTGCCATGTCATGGCGCTCGCGCTCGTCGTTTTTGCGCGTTCTCAGGAAACCCAATCGCGCACAGAAACAAGCGCCGCATCACCAGTGACAGAAAACGCGCAAAGGACGACGAGCGCCATGACAATGCATTTTTGGCGCTGCATGATTGGGTTCATCGGATCGTAGCTTTGGCTGTGGTCGGACTTAATGTGAAACGAAGTATAGACCAACTCAACTCTCTGACGTGACGCCACTGAGGTGGCGCTGCTGTCGGTACTGCGCATGCGTGCAGACGCTCCACTCCTCCCGAATTTTATTTCTGCGCACGCGCAGTGCCCGCACCTGGTGTGGGTAAAACGGGCTTGTTTGTAAAGAGTGTGCCGGTGAATAGCGTAGTAAAATATGCTGATGGGGGACACCAACCTGAAAGCGAGTCTTTTGTTTCAGACGCTTTACTCTAAAAAAAGCCTGTGCGTCTGCTTTCCCGCACAACACTCGGAGAGCCAATCGCCGCAACTTACGGAGGCAG